TGACCATCCTGTATGCGAATGATGAATGAGATGAATGACCATCCTGTATGCAAATGATGGATGAGATGAACGACCATCCTGTATGCAAATGATGCATGCGATGAACGACCATTCTGTATGCAAATGATGCATGAGATGAACGACCATTCTGTATGCAAATGGTGCATGAGATGAATGACCATTCTGTATGCAAATGATGCATGAGATGAATGACCATCCTGTATGCAAATGATGCATGAGATGAATGACCATCCTGTATGCAAATGATGAATGACCATCCTGTATGCAAATGATGCATGAGATGAACGACCATCCTGTATGCAAATGATGCATGAGATGAACGACCATCCTGTATGCAAATGATGAATGACCATCCTGTATGCAAATGATGCATGAGATGAACGACCATCCTGTATGCAAATGATGCATGAGATGAATGACCATCCTGTATGCAAATGATGAATGACCATCCTGTATGCAAATGATGCATGAGATGAACGACCATCCTGTATGCAAATGATGCATGAGATGAACGACCAACCTGTATGCAAATGATGCATGTGGTGGAGTGGAATCCTGTATGCAAATGATACATGAGATGAATGACCATCCTGTATGCAAATGATGCATGAGATGAACGACCATCCTGTATGCAAATGATGCATGAGATGAACGACCAACCTGTATGCAAATGATGCATGTGATGGAGTGGAATCCTGTATGCAAATTATGCATGAGGTGATAAGCCATCCTGTACGCAAATGATGCATGAGATGAACGACCATCCTGTATGCAAATGATGCATGAGATGAACGACCAATCTGTATGCAAATGATGCATGAGATGAACGACCAACCTGTATGCAAATGATGCATGAGATGAATGACCATCCTGTATGCAAATGATGCATGTGGTGGAGTGGAATCCTGTATGCAAATTATGCATGAGGTGATAAGCCATTCTGTATGCAAATGATGCATGAGATGAACGACCATCCTGTATGCAAATGATGCATGAGACGAACGACCATCCTGTATGCAAATGATGCATGAGATGAACGACCAACCTGTATGCAAATGATGCATGTGGTGGAGTGGAATCCTGTATGCAAATTATGCATGAGGTGATAAGCCATCCTGTATGCAAATGATGCATGAGATGAACGACCAAACTGTTTGAAAATGAAGTGGAGTTGAATCTTGTATGCAAATATGCATGAGGTTATAGGTCATTCTGTATGCAAATGCATGAGGTGAGGGGTCATCCTTTATGCCAGTGATACACGAAAATCTACAGCAGTTATGTAATCTATATTTTATTGTATACTACTTACTTCTATTTTAGTATATGTGTTACTCATCAAGGCAATTAAGAGATTCAATAGAACGACTACAGCTATTATGTAATACATTCCATATAGTACTGTACCAAACCACTCGGTTGACACATGATTAGAATCAATACGCAGTATATCAGGTTCCAGTAATCCAAACAATGACCAAAATAAAGTTTCCATGCTTTTACTTAATCTGTTGTCAAAACAACAAAATTATGATTTTAATATGACGAGATTTACGAGATATGTATTTAAGT